AGTATGTTAATGTTGTTAAATTCCCTCGTTGCACACAGCATTAATACAATCATCAGTAGAAATATTGTAATTAAATAATCATTTCCAAGCCATGCTGACTAATGTGTCTGTAAAAAACAGAATATGAACGAAAATCAGAATTATATAATTATAACAATTAAAACGAGAACAATAATGATGATATTTGTGGAGAATTAATTTTTAATAACACGTTAATGGTTTGACATTTTCTAGCTATCTCAATAATACTGTTACAACGAACATTTAATTTATTTGTTGAGTTTTATTATGCTGGTGTCATATGTAGGATTGTTTTTATGGCCCACGTCAGTTAAGCATGGTAACATATTATTCGTATCATCTGTTTAGACCTGCTTATGACAATATTTTCAGCAAAATGTTTTATTGGCTTTAATGTTTGATATTATCAAAATTTGACTATCCCTTGATTTTAATTGATTGCTTTGAAATGGATTTGTCTTTCGACAGAAAGAGATATAAAAGAATTCCTAGACCAAGCAAATATAAATTTTCTGATTTGAGGGATTCTTTATTATAAGAAACTTTGGCCACCTTTCTTCATGCATAAACCCTGTTTACCATAGAAAAATTTCTGTTGTGGGAACAGTTTCGAGAACGGAAGGGATGAAAAATTGCTAGTGTAAACGGTCGAGCGTTCGGAAAACAGTTTCAATTTGAGATTACTGAGGCGAGGTGATCTCGGAACAGTTCTCAGAATCCGAACAGTTAATATTTGGTAGTGTAAATGTTCGAGTGTTCGAGAACAGTTCTTACCTATGCGTCTTGACCCCTTGACATGTTCTACAGTTTCTGTGAGCAGACGAAGTTGCCTTCATCCAGGTTATTAGAACACCTAAATGAACTCTTTCTTGAAGATTTTAATTAAAATGCGTCTGAAAACAATAAATCATTTACATTTTTGTTATAGAACTGTTCTCGAAATGCTCAAAATTGTAGTAGTGTAAACAGTAAAAATTTTGTAATTTTATTGTGTCCAGCTCTAGACAGGGAACGGAACACTTTATAGCGCTCTTATGTAAACGGGGCTATAGTGTACAAGAGTAATGACGTCTTTCTTTACTGATCACAGCAATGTTAAACAATTTATTTAAGTTCTCAGAAGCTATGGCTTAAAAAGGAAAAGTGTTTCAGTTGTCTTGATTTGTTTTTCAAGCCATTATGAAAATAAAATAGCATTGGAAAGAAACTGCCCTAAAGTTGTATGTTTTGTCTTTGGTGAAAATGAAAAATTAGAAGATTTAGTTGCTTTAATGTTTACCAGTATAGTGTTTGTGTGGGTTTATGACTTCTGTTGCCTATTTGATTATAATAATTACTGATATTAATCTGATGTATTAACTGTCCTTCACCCTCCCTTCTACCATATTGACCAGTCATAGTTCATTGGTCACTTATAATTGATGGTGAAAGTTACTGGTCAAGCTGACACAGGTTATATTTCAAGGTGAAATGACCTAACGGGTGAAAACATGTTTATTTGGTTTTATGATATACAGTTATTTATTGTAGTTTATAGATCATAAAAATAGATGTAAAAACTTATATTAATAGTTGTAGTCCAATATAAATGACAGATTATCTTAAAATTATATATTTTATTGTTAATTATTTTAACAAACTTACATAGGGCCTTAGGCACTGACATACAATGTTTTAGAAACTTCAAGAAGCATCTAACACATAACATAGTGTACCTTTTGTTTATTTCTTTTGGCATATAAGACTTGATTCCTGTTTTCAAGATTGAATGTGACAATAGCATGCATGATTTGTGAACTAGAAATAGTTCTACCTAAGTATGGCTTCTAGGTCACAAAATTAGAATAATGATTCTATTTCAAGTTTAAATTATAGCTGAAACAATGTGTGACCTACCACATTGAATGGCTTGAAGTTGAATATTTTTCTTTTATAAGTGTATCTGGATGAAACCAGAAAATACTATGCTACTAAATAAAGTGCACAATTTAACTATTTTATTACTTATCATCTTGCTGGAGGTCAAAGTTGAAAAAACAATCAAAAATTGGTAGCAGATGTTGACAAAGCTTGTCACTTCAGGAGACAAAGTATAAATATTTTAATAGTCAACCTTTTAACTCTTTTTACATTTTATATTCTGAATAAATATTTATAGATAAAGGTTGTTTAATATTCAAATTTATTGCATCTTCAATTTCTAAACTATTCAAAACCATATTCAATTGATATTATATAAATTGCTAAAAGTGTTATCTAGTTCATAGTTATATTAATAAAGAACATGATTTGTATAAAAATAGCCAGGCCGATATTTCCTCTGATATATAATTGAGATTTGATCTACTTAGTAATTACTTGTCTTACTTTCTTTTTATATACAAATTTAACCTTTCACCTCCAGAAAGAATTTTGTTTTCAAAACATATCTGGCTAGGTAATCTAAAAATAGGTGAGAGTTGAGGGTAGATTTCTCTAGCCTGTGTGATAATACATACTGATATATACTAATATAGTGGACAGTGGTATTTCATTTATACTGATCATTGTCACTCATCTTTACACTGAAATAAACCAAGAAAATAAGATTAAATGCACATTTAACTCAAACATAATCTTGCCATATATTTTTATGATTTAGCTAGTTTATGCTACTTTGCGTTATCGACCAAAATGACATAAAATATTCAAAAGAAAAATTAATAGTTGTTCTGCAGAGATTCTCTTCATTGAAATCATTGTCCATTTATGTATTGATTTATATTATATATTTAAAATAATACATTAAAGTCAGCAGACTAAATGTTAATAACTATTCATGACAATTGAAGTCTGCATCAACTGTGGAATAAGAAACATATTATAGAGCTACGTTATAATAATGTTAAATCATTGTAACAATACATGAATTATTGATGTGACTAATAATGAAATGTTAGTAATAATGAGTTGATAGTGTAATTAAATATCTAGTGTTAAATAATTAGTATTCATATCACAGTGTATAGAGTTTAATATTATTAAACATCTTGACAGTGTACTAAATTGATATGGAACATTTCTTAATGGAGCCAAGTTTGGTGCAGATAAAAACAATTTGTTAAAGTAGACTTTACATGATGTAATAAAATCTTTTTTGCTTGAATTCATTTTTGCACAGTAGCCAAATTTCTTTCCTATTTATAGTTGAAACATGCTCTGTATGTTTGAAACTTAATGCTCTTTTTAGTCTCATTTTAATAATCTATTTCTCTCTTTGCAGTGGTGATCCAAACTCATGGGGTGGACCAAACCAAGGCCAATCATTGTCGGTAGTTACAACAGTATGGGGTGTAACTCCTACCACTCAGAGTGCTCCCTCCTTTCATAATACACCAGCACCAGGCTTTACTAATACCACCATGACAGCTACAAACTATAGTCAACAGACGCAAGGCTTTCCAGGCAACCAAATACAAAAACCTCCATATAATCCTCAATCCATGCCATTTCGTCGAGATCCACGACCTAGGTAAATATATTTTGATATTAATTATTTCTGTTTCTCCTAAAATATATACAGACTGTTCGCAATCACTTTTTTGAAACGTAATTGATTGTATAGAGACACAGCTTTATAGTACAACAATCACTGGTTAAAGTTTTATGCAACGTTTCGACGTGTTTCCCCCGTCGTCCTCAGGCATGTGCCTTGCATAGAACTTTAACCAGTGATTGTTGTTCCATAAAGCTGTGTCTATATATCGTACTCACAATTGCTTAATGCCACTCAAAGACTGTAATTGATTGTAGTAATGAAGTTTTTGATTGTTGCAAATTTTTTCAGACCACCTCTTCTGTAAATTCCAGAATTGAACCATCTTGTGCACAGTTAAACATAAATTATATTCTTGTAATGTATTGATCTTGAATTTCAGTGGTTACCCTCCAACACCAAATACCCCAGGTTCTAATCCTTCTATGTCTGAAGGTAATGATTATCAGGCACCTCCTGCAGCTTTATCAGCAGCAGCTTATGTAGCGGCTGCAGCAACTGCCACAGCAACTGCAACAGCTACAGCAAGTATGGTTGCTTTACAAGAACAACAGAATCAACAACAACAAATGAACATGAATGTTCATATGAATATTAATAATCAGTATGGCCAACAGATGCAGGTAACATTGTTTTAAGAGATCAATCTGTTACATATCATAATATTTCTAGTTGACTTTAGTGGAAATTTTACAGTGATTAGGATATACAGTCTCTTACTAGATTGTTTTCAATATCTTGATCTCTCCATTGTTTACTATCACCTGTAAATCTTTCTTTCTTTACAAAATAAGAAGGTGGAAAAGTTATATAATACTAAACACCTTAATAAAAACTTCACTGACTTTACTCACTTTCAAAAAGAAATCATTTAGTTATAGGCCAGTCATTCAAGCATTTTATTTCGTTAAATTAGTGGTTTGCACCCAGGTAACAGACCTACATGATTGCTCATGCATAGAGAAACTTCAACTCTCCTAGACTGTATTTTGATAGCTACATGAGTAGATAGATTTACATATTGTCAACTTTTCTTATTTTCATCTGGCCTCAGGGCAAAGATCCAAAGTATTTTTATCACATTTATACAATTACTTGTTAGCTATTTAAGTAGGGCATCTCATTCTTCTAATGATTAACCTTTGTCTAAAAATAACCCAAAGAAGACGTCACTAATAAATATAAATGATACCACAATTAATTTGGTAAATAATTTAGTTTCCCTGTCAATTGTGACATCACTACCTATTTTAAACCAATCAGATCATTTCAAATTGATATTTATCTGGTATTTATATTTCTATTTTCGTTTCAGCAAATGCAACCAGGACCTCCTCCTCAATATAACAATCATTATCCGGGTATGGGGCAACAGAGACATCCAGGACCGATGGGTATGGGACCTGGTGGACCTGGACCAATGTCAGCGAAAGCTTCTATGGGAATGTATCGTGGTCGACCTTCACCTTATCCTAATCCTCAACAATACATGCAGTCAAAACAACGGCAGCAAGGCCAATATCCGAATGGTGCAAATGTGAGTAATATCTTTTGACATTTGAAACAAAAATGTTGCGGTTGCCTTGACTGTTCATATAAAGAGTGAATGCTAGCCATCAATTTCATATTTTCAAACCATACACATATTTATAAAAAAAAATTTTCTTTCAGTTTGGTCCTGGACACCCTGGTCATCCAGGCCACCCAGGACATCCTGGTCAGGTACCGTATAACCAACAGTACCCGTCAAAGCCTCAATATCCACCTACCCAACAACCATTACCTTCCCCTACCTATGGCCCAGCTCAACCTATGCGTGGTAATGTTCCTTCTCAGTACACCAACGGACAGAATCCATACATGGGTCAGGGTCAATTTATGCCTAATCGACTCCCATCACAACCTCACGGCTTCTCACAGTTTCCTGGGCAGGTAATTGTCTTGTAACTTTATATTCTATCTTAACCCTCTTATACACTCATAAATATTCTGTATTTATTGATTATATTTACAACAGTCATTATGATTGATTTTTGAAACAAATAAGAAAATTAAGGTGGGTTGATTGCAGTACATTAAAGTTTTTAGTTTAATGAGAGGTAATTAATGTTACAAGGTGCATTTCTCTTAGTGTATATAGATCAATTATGATAGATTTGTAATTAAACATAGTGTTCATTTCTCTCATTACAGGGAAATTTTCAACATCATTCACCAATACCTGGTAATCCTACACCTCCTATGACACCTGGTTCAGTGGGTGCTTACACCCAGGGTGATATGAAACCCAGTTTTCCACCCGATATTAAACCACATTTAATGAAAAAAGGTATGTATGAGTCACATAGAATGTGTAAAAAGGTAAATCTTGTCATATCCAAAAGCATTATGTCAATCAGAATAACTTTGATTGATGAGAAGCCAACAATTTTTAGATTGGGTGCTTTCAAAAAAATATTTTTCTGTTCGGTGCATTTATGTTTTTACATTCTGACAATATTTACATTCAATCGCGGATTAAAAGCAATTTTTTTGTGAATAGCCAAAACAAAATCATACTGATTGAAAGAATCCTTGATCTTATACCATCAAAATTTGTCACAATGTTTTGGAAAGAGAAATGAACATGAAAATTTAGTCTTTTATTCACTCAAATAAATTTGGAATTGAAACTGTAACTTATAACAGGTTAGAAATAGTGGCGAGTTTTATGAATATAATAGATGTAGATAAAACTATAAGTATTATAAGTACTATAGTATATAAAAGATAGTATATGATTAGAGTTAGTAAATTGATTTTCTAGTGAAGAAAGCCTCCCATCTGTTACATATCATTATATTCAATATTTAAATAACTTAAAAAACAATACAGAAACAACACTTTTTCTTCATGTCATAAATTACTTTAGCAATCAGTTTTAATTTTTTCAAACATATGTAAGCTTGTGTATGCATTACAGTTACAATATGAACGAGAATTTCAGAGGAGCCAACAAAGAACTTATTTTCAACCTAAAATTTCATGTTATTGGGCATTAAACATTTCTTTGCCGAAGTGCAACTTCAACTTTTATCAGTGATGAGTGATATCAGAAAATAATGCAAAAAAAAAAAAAAAGAATTGAAATTCCTTGCATTGCAATAAATACTTTCTATTTAGGTATAATATTTTGGATGTTCTCTATTTTGTAGAAGATGAATTAAGATTAACGTTTCCAGTTCGGGATGGTGTAGTGCTAGCTCCATTCAGACTAGAACATAATTTGGCTGTCAGTAACCACGCATTTCATCTCAGGGACTCTGTTTACCAGACCTTAATGTGGAGGTAAGCTTTTCCTTAATATGTTAGTTTATATTTTGAAACAGCTGATGATAGTGACAGTCTTAGTGTATGTATAATAGGAGTGCTGTTACCAGGATCACATGGATGCACAGGGGCTCATGCTGCTCTGATTCAATGTATATTTTGAAGAGTGTTATTCTTAATTTGCCATTAATTTTACACAAAAACAATCCAACCTCACATCAATTTCCTGAATTTTAAGTGATTTTATGATTTGGTTATTAAGTAAAGTTTCACACTATGATGCAAAATGTTTATTTGCATTAAAATTAAATGAATACTATGAATATTATGGTATAAATTATTTAATTAAATATATCAATTCCATCACGACAAGACCTTTTTTCAAAATAATCTGAGGAAAGTAAATAGTGCATGTTATGATTATGAAGTGACATAATATTTATAATTGTATCACATATTATGCTGTAAGTTATCCACCTACATTCATAGAAATAGAATGGTGACTTGATTATAGAATAAAATAAAATCATCTAACTTTATGTTTATTGTGTATAAAAGCTGATAAAACTCAATTCATGCTGATAAATTTGTAGTGAAAAGTTGGTTTTGATTTGTATGTAATGTAATGGGATTGAAAAAGATGTCCTTAATGAATATTTTTTTTGTATTTTTAGGTCTGATTTAGAGTTGCAATTAAAATGTTTTCATCATGAAGATCGTCAAATGAGCACAAACTGGCCAGCATCAGTGACAGTTAGTGTGAATGCCACGCCTCTAGTTATCGAACGTGGTGAAAATAAATCGTCTCATAAACCCCTGTATCTTAAAGAAGTATGTGCCCCTGGTAGAAATACTATACAAATCACTGTTACTGCTTGTTGTTGTGTAAGTAGTCTTTTTAGCGCTATTTGATCCAGCTTGAACTTAAAATTCTTGTGTGCATAAATATATGAAGGATAATTATATGAATTTGAAATGACTTACAAACATGAAGCAAAAATGTAAAATATTGTGTTTATCCAAGGGGACTTTTCATTTTTATGCTTTTGTGGTTGTTTTAATATACAGTAAATAGAATCTAAAAATTGAAAAATAATTCTATGTAAGACTACTCTTTAAACAAATAGGAAGAAATATAAAGTGTTTCTAAAATTGATTGTTTCTCTTGATGAATAAAGCTGACATTTCAAATCTAGAAAAATATATATTATATTTATTAATCAATTCAACCCACTATTGATTAGAATAGAAAAATAATTCTATATTCACATTTCTTAAAATATCAATACTTGTCTTATGTTTTCAGTCTCATTTATTTGTTTTACAATTGGTTCATCGACCAAGTATAAGATCTGTGTTACAAGGATTATTACGGAAGCGTTTATTACCAGCAGAACATTGTATCACTAAAAGTAAGCCCATAATAATGATTTATTGATTTCTGATATATTTATAGTTTTAATAGGATTATACTCAATTACTCCTGATGTACTACCTGTAGTCAGAACTGTGCCTTTTACAGATTGTACTTTACAATCTTTATATACTTATTTGTAACATTTAATATATCAGAATCACTGCTAATATTTGGCTAGTTTTCTGTAAGCCACTTGTGCTTGTGCGATATTGAAAACTTGAAATTGTGAACTTTCTTAAATGTACTCAAATCTGTCCTGGCCTTTCAATGTAAAGCATGAATAATCTATTTTAATTTACATTATTTATTTTTTGTAGTCAAAAGAAATTTTACACAAGTGCCAACAGCGAACTCATTAAATGGTGGAGATGATGGGGTAGAACAAACCGCTATTAAAGTGTCTCTAAAATGTCCAATAACATATCGACGTATCTCTTTACCTGCTAGAGGTCATGATTGTAAACACATACAGGTTCGTTTGTTTTTTAGTTCTGTTATATACCTTGGCCTGTTTTCTCAATGTTTCAGAAATTTTAGGCAGTCTTAAATATGAGTTCACATTATTATTCAAAGCATAAGCAGAGTATATTTTGAACTATCTTATATAGTTTGATTAATATGTACAATGACTTTGTTACTAATAAAAACATATTTTGTATCTTTATAGTGTTTTGATCTAGACTCCTATCTACAGCTCAATTGTGAAAGAGGAACATGGCGCTGTCCAGTTTGCAAGTAAGTAGTCATGACTTACAGGATAATAAAAGATTTAGGACAATTTGAAAGGGAGAAAATTATAAGCAAATATATAGTGTACAAGAAAATCAATCTTTCATCTTCAAAATTTGTTAGTTGTATATAAAATTATTGTGTTATTTTTCAGTAAAACAGCACTGCTGGAAGGTCTGGAAATAGATCAATATATATGGGGTATACTCAGTAATTTAAATAATACAGAATTTGAAGAAATAACAATGGATCAATCAGCCAGTTGGAAACCTGTTCCTATTAAATCATTAATTAAGGAAGAGGAAAATAGTGAGTATTCTACATACTACTGTTATTAATAGTTTATATAAGGACATCCTTTTTATTGACCTTACTTCCCATACTATATCATTATCATTAGAAACATTGATTATACACCCATATCATGTTGTCTCTTAACCTTTTAACACACTCTACAGTTTTCATTAGAATTTTTTTGCTATTTTTATTGTTGAAATGTGGGACAATGTTTGAGTTATTGCAAAATGACTTAATACAAATATGTTACATATATAACATGTCTGTCTGTATTTGTGCTTTCTGCACCACAGAAAAGCTAATGCCATATGTCCTGTGCGATCATTTTGATTTAAATTTTGTTGCCACATGTGGCAATTGAATTTTCTGTAGTAGCTTATACTCCCATTTCCTTATCAACAAACAATATTTAGACTGAAGATATACCTAATTCAAAACACTCAAATGTTTGACATGAAATTTGAAACTGAAGGTCAAATTGGTATCGAGTTCGATAAAGAGTTATTAAGCAAGACTATTGATAGTAATTTTTATCATTGCGAAACTTGACACACTTATTAAATGTCAACAGTTATCTGTAATGATAAGATTTTCCAGCCTCCAGCTGACATTTCTGTTTTTGGCATTCAAATCAATCAACGAGTTTCATTTTTTCCAGGCGATTGAAATGCTTCCTATAGAATTTTTTTTATTGTCGTTTAATTTTTTGATACTCTATATTTTTCAGCCAATGATCAATGTGCTAATAGGTGGCTGAAGGCAATGTCTCCATCAAGTACGCAAATGCCAACAATGAATTCCTGGGATTTAGGGCCACAGGCATCACCATATAATATGCCACCCACAAATTTAAATGGTAAGTTTAATGATGATAATCAGCTTGAGATTTTGTTCAAATTTAGTTGGAAAATTATTTGAACTATTTCATCCAAAACCTATGAAATTATGTTATGTTTTATCTACACCATTGCATTGGTTTGCTATGTGGTAATGGAGAAATCTTGGTGATTGGTCCTGAATTATTAATTAGAAATGTATTAATGACTATTTATGTACTAAATAGTATCCAAAATGGTGTAATGCATCTGACTGTTATAGTTGTTGGTTATTAAAATAGAATCTAGTAGTAAAAAGCTGTAATTCAGATTTTTTAAACCAGTACAGAAAGTGTCATGTAATTTGATCTGTACCTTCAGGAATAGTCTCAGTCATTTATCTTATGTAACATAACATTTTATGATTCATGAATCCAGTTGAGAATTGTCAGACAGTTTTTTAACCATCGATTCTGTAATTCCAGGTGATCCCATGGGTCAACAACTACGCCATCCTGATCAATCAATTCCTAATGGTAGTCACATGATTCCAAACAGCCAGTCGCCGCAATTAATGACAAATGGCAGCCATCCTTTGAGTCATCCATCACAGGGTACCAATAATAATAATAATAATTTGCCTCTACCGCCTGTTGGAGAGTGCCAAAGTTTACCAGACTTAAACTTTGACCCTACGTCAATAATAGATGGCAATGGGCAAACAGAAAATCTAGATGTAAGTTGTTTATTAATATCACTTATTATTTGTCAAGAAAGATGATGAGGTATTTAACATAGACAGTAGTAAAAGGTGTTTTATTCTGTAGATATGATCTCAAAATATTTATCACAGCTAAATGTATTTTAATGAAAGATGATTGTTAATGGATGTCATTCTTTTCTATTTCAGCTTTTACCAGATAATTTAGGAGATCCGTTAGAACTTTTATCTTATTTAGGGCCACCTGACGGCTCGAGTGATTCGACCAATCAAAATAACAATGCAAACGGAACAAATAATAATAGTGGTAATAATACAAACAATAATAGTGACGATCTCTTAGCATTGTTCGAATCGTGAACGTCTGCTTTTTAACCTGTGATTACGCCTGGACTGAGATAAACTCTTATTGGTGGCACAAGTTTTATAATAAATCAACTGTTTTTATTTCAATACTAGCGTAGAAAAAAGACTACGTGGCAAAAGTAACCATTTTAAATTGTCATGATGTGTTATTTATTGTTTACCTACACAATTTATTTCTAATGCAATATTTTAATGTGTTAATATGCAGATATTCATATATTCAAAGATCTACATTTTCAAATAGTGACAAAGAATACCAATGTGTTTGGAGGAAATAAAGTGAACATTAATTCCTAGGACAAAACTGAATGATAATCAATCATAAAGGAAGTGATGTGCTCAAGTGCAAAACTGTATCATATTTATTAATTATTATTATTTTATTTTGTATATAGATAATATACATACAACACTGATTCTCATTTAAAAAAACAAATACAAACATTTTCATCATCATTATCATTATCATCATTATTATTGTATAATGTTGTACAACTCAGCAATTTAAAACATTACATCAATTTCATTTCATCATTATTATTAAAATAACACCAATCTATTAGGATTGAAGTATTCTCATTATTAATATGTTATATGAATATATATATATATATAAAATAATGAGTAATATATATATAAGATCATTATGTGATCATATCAAACTAGAGTGTTTTATATAGAGGC